CAAGATGGGAAGTAAAAGTGTCGTAGATTGTTGGGATTGATGATATTATTGTACAAATTAGTACAAGCTGTATTGTTAACTTTGAGGGATGTCATACACGTTTCGAATATAAGAATGAACTTGCTTGCTGTTAATATCTTTGATAAAGATGGATATGAGAGCCGACAAAAGAATGGGCAGTGGAAGCTTCTCAAAGGATCTATGAAAGTTGCAAGGGAAAAACTATGCTGCACAATGTATAAAACATAGATGCAATTGAATGGCAAGCAAGTAAATGCTGTTAAGGATTATGGTTCAGCAAACTTGTGACATAAGAGGCTAGCACACATGAGCAAGAAGGGGTTACAAGTTTTGGTAAGGCAATCTCTCATTCTTTGACCAAAGTATGTCTTTCGATTCATGTAATTATTATTTATTTGATAAGTATCATAAAGTTTCTTTTCATAAGAGTTTTTATAAAAAAGAAAATATATTAGAATTAATCTATTCTGACATATGTGATCCCATTAAGGTTAAATCATTAGGTAGTAGCACGTATTTTGTTACTTTTATTAATGATGCTTTATGTAAGACTTGGGTGTATATGTTTAAAAAAAAAGTCAGATATTGTAGTATTTTCAAAAATTTCATGCTATAGTGAAAATGATGACAGGGTTACCCTTAAAGTATATTTGAACTGATAATAGTGAAGAGTACACATCTAAAAATTTTAAAGAGTATTATTCAAAACATGAGATCAGACATGAGATGATAAAACTTGAAACACCGCAACATAATGGTGTAGCTGAAATGATAAACCATACCATTGTGGAAAAAGTCATATGTATGTTGAGAATGACAAAATTACAAAAGTCATTCTAAGGTGAAGCAGTTAACACAGCTTGTTATTTGCTTAATAAAACACCATCAGTTGTTTTGGGTTTTGACATTTCAAAAAAAGTATGACAGAAAAATATGCTTCATACTCTCATTTAAAATTTTTCGGATGTAAAGCATTCATTCATATGTCGAAAAAGTAGAAGTCAAAGCTTGATAGTAAAGTCACACAGTGTATGTTTCTAGTATATGAGGATAAGAAATTTGGCTACAGAGTATGAGAACCAGTGAAAAGAAAGACAATCAGAAGAAGAGATGTGGTATTCCATGAAAAAAAAACCATAGCAAACCTTGAGAAAAATGAAAAGACTACATGGGTTACTATTAAGTGTGATATTTTAACATCGATAAGAGTTCCACAAGAAAGTCACAAATGGTGAAAATGAGCAAAAAACAGAACTTGGAGATATGAATGAGCCAGCCACAGTTAGTGATGAGCCAAATGCAATTAGTTTTGAGCAAGAGAAGCAATCTTCTCCATTAAATAATGTTGAGCAGAGGGAGCTCTCTTCAGCATTAGGTGGTGTAGAGTTTCAACCTAGGAGATCTGTTAGAGAGCATAGGCCATCTACAAGGTATCTAAGTTTAGATTTTATTTTAGTTACTAGTTAAGATGAGCCAAAGAGCTTTCAAGATGTGCAGACTACTCTGGATAGAAAGCACTTGTTAAAAGCAATGAAAGAAGAGATAGAGTCATTACAAAAAAATGGTACTTATGATCTTGTTAAATTTTTGAAAGGAAAAAGGCCATTGAAAAATAAATGGGTGTTCAAGTTGAAAAAGGATGGTGACAAGCTAGTGAGGTATAAAGCTCGATTGGTGGTGAAAGATTTTTTTAAAAAATTAGGCATCAATTTTAATGAGATCTTCTCTCCAGTTATAAATATGAGTTCCATTCGAGTAGTACTAAGATTAGCAGTTAGTTTGAATCTTGAGCTTGAGCAACTTGATATCAAAACTGTATTTTTGCATAGTAACTTACAGGATGACATTTATATGAATAAGTCTGAGGGTTTTGAAGTGAAAATGAAAGATCACTTAGTTTACAAATTGAAGAAAAGCTTATATGACTTGAAACAAGCTCCATGACAGTGGTACAAGAAGTTTGATTCTTTTATGATGAGTCATAGCTATAAAAGAACGATAATAGATCATTATGTGTATGTCAAAAAATTTCTCTGATGATAACTTCATTATTCTTTTATTATATGTTGATGATATGTTTATTGTGAGATAAAATGTTAGTATGGTTTACAGGTTGAAAGAATAATTATTTAACTCCTTTGACATGAAGGATTTAGGTTTAGAAAAGTAGATTCTTAATATGAACATTATCAGGGATAAGAAAGTTGAAAAGCTATGGTTGTCACAGAAAAAGTATGTTGAACGAGTACTTAATAAATTCAACATGTAACATGCTAAATCAGTTAGTAATCCATTTACCAACCATTTTCATTTGAGTAAGAATCTTGTCCAATGTCTAAATAAGAGCAACTAGCTATATTTATTATTCTTTATTCTTTTGCAGTCGGTTCTTTAATATATCTTATGATTTGTACATTACCTGATATTGCTCATGTAGTTGGTGTAATGAGCAAATTTTTTTTTAATCCGAAAAAAGTTTACTAAGAAGCAGTGAAATAGATTTTCAGGTATTTGAAGGTCACCTCAAAAATATGCTTGAGTTATCACAATCAGTTCTAAAAAAATTTACTGATGCTGACATGGTAGGTGATCTTGATGGTAAAAAATCTACTTCAGGGTATTTGTTCATTTTTGTAAGAGGAGCTATGTCTTGGCAGTTTAAATTACAGAAGTGTGTTACTTTGTCAACTACATAGGCTGAGTATATTGCAACAACTGAAGTAGGTAAAAAAATGCTTTTGATGAAATATTTTTTTCTTGAATTGAATTTTGAATCAAAAAGAGTATGTGATATTTTGTGATAGCTAGAGTGTTTTAAATTTGAGTAAAAATGTCATGTATCATGCTAAAACGAAGCACATTGATGTTAGATATAACTGGTTACATTCAGTAATTGAAGAACAACAGATGTTGTTAAAAAAAGTTCATACTAATGAGAATGAAATAAATATGTTGACTAAGATATTTATTAGAGAAAAGCTTGAGCTTTGTAATAACTTGATTGGAATAGGTTCCTTGGCTAAGGTAAGTTTCAAATGACATTGCTATGGTGATGAATCTACTTTTAATGGGGCTGAAGGGGAAGATTATTAGAAAAATGAAATCCACCCAATGTAATTGGTTTTGGACCAATTAAAGGTCGTGGGCCTTGATCTTTTTTTTTTACACAATGCCCTAGCTACTTAATAAAAATAGGTGGAGCTATTTTAAGGTAGAGTCATAAAACTAAGAAAAAAAAGCCAAAAAACAAAAGAGAAAAAAAAAGTGAGAGTTGGTTAAACGAAAATTAATTCGTAGTCCGATTGAGTTGAAACATTGTCAGCAGATTTATGATTCAAAGTTTTACATTTTGAACGATGAAGATCGGGTTTGAAACTCTATAAGAACAAATCCATGGTGTATTTGTTGAGTTACTTATTTAATGAGATTTATTCAATTGTCTCTCTAGTTGTTGATTAGCTCTAGCTCTAGTTTTAGCTAGAAAAGAATTTTGTATATCCATTATTTGATAGTAAAAATTTTTTTGGTGGTCCGTGATTTTTTTTATGTATACTAGAGGGTTTTTCACATAAATCTTGATGTGCTTTATTTTTTATGTATTGTTGATTATTGATTGTTGTCTATTACTGTGGGTTTATTGCGATATATTGTTTTTACGTTATTGTGTTTATTGGTTCAAGTCCAACAAGTGGTATCAAAGCTTGTTGTTTTGGCGAGTTCGAAAAGTCATAGGTTTGAGTCTTAGTAGTATTGCTGGGGAAGATTGTTGGCAGATCGAAGGTTGATCGCATTCATCAATTTCATATACTCGAACACTGGTATTAAAGGAGATTGTTGACAGATCGAAGGTTGGCTGCGTTCATCAACTCCATGTATTCAAACACTGGCATTAAAAGTTCGATTTGGATGCAGCAAGTATATGATAATATGCAGAAGATGTGTTGAGTCAACCTGAAGTGTAAGCTTGAGGGAGTACTGAGACAACCTAAGCACCTAGGTTGAGTGTTGTGCCCTCGACCAAAAACGTATTAGAGATATGAGATTTCCTAGCCCAAATGATGTGCTAATAAGGACTTACTCACACGGAAGAGCCGAGGTGAAACTTGATCATAACTCATAAGTGAACGGAAAATATTGTTGGGATATGGTTCACATGTAAGTAAAGAATTTCACATCATTAAAAAATTTGAATGAGATATTTTATATATGCATGAAGGATCCAATAATCTAATAGTTTAAACTTTTGGACTCAAGTGATTTCTAACATGTATGTATGAGCTCTCTGATATGCTCCCAGAAGCTCCAAGTGTGATTTATCTCCTCGATGATAAGTTGATGGCCTTATCTCCTGATTATAACAGCAGCAGCAACGTAAGCCTAAATATAACCTGCAAACCACATTTGATTGGTTCCAATGAGGAAGCACCCGGTAACTTGTTAAGGCGGAAATGGAAAAAAGCACCTTCTAATAAATTCAAAAGGTCTGAGGAGTCTGCATCTATCAAACCACTATATGGTCCTAAAACGTCCCGCTTGGGACGTCAGGACTTACTAGTTAATGACTTGTCAAGTTATAATTTTTCTGAAGGCAGCAAAAATATTCAAGAGTGTATGCAGGAGCTAATCGGTAACAGCAGGGCGGAGAATAATGGTGATAAAGAAAAATTAAACGAAGGGAGCGGTTGTACCACTCCTGCTGGTGGCTACCAGACTCGATCCAAAGGAGCATATAAGCTTAATAGGGGATTAGATTTTGACAGGATGGCAACTGCAGATGCCCAAGAAACTCATCTAGCACTGGTCAGAACATGCAAAATGTCTCAGCAGCTTCCAGTAGGGAATTTTTGGGTGTTTTAAATGTTGGCTTTATCAAAGGAGAACCAGGTTTTTCAGAAATGGTTCGTAATAGAGTTCGTGATTATTATAAAAATGGGAATCTTGCAGGTGATTATCACCTGAGTCATGGCTGGAAAGTTTAACAGATTGGTTGTGCCTTTAAATCAAAAAACTTTCACGAGTTTTTCAATGTCCCCATTTTTATGGCAGTGTTTTTCGTCAAGTTTATTTAAACATATAGCCAATGAACGGAAACCCAAAATTAGTTTTTTTTTTCTTTTCTTTTAATTGGTTTAATGAAATTACATTACATGTTGACGTAAGGTAAGAGTTTTGCGAGCACAGATTCACTTTGTTCCTTTTGCAGGTTTTCTGTCTACTGTTTTGCTTATTGATTTGGTTTATTAAGCTAAATTGAAGTTAAACGCAACAAAAAGGAGAAAGAAAGGTGCAATCATATTTTTTTATACACAAAATTGACTCAAAAAACCAGCTAGAACTTGATTATACTATCCTTGAATATGTGTACACGGCTCTACAAAATAAAAAGTTCTAATTTAATTACATGGGTTTAGTGCATTTCAAAAATCCTTTGTGCTTTAATCTTTCTCTAAATTTACTTGGGTATACGACCACAGAGTCTAAACACAGACCACCCTTTGTATGTGTGCAATCAATTTGAGTCATAGATAACTTAATCTTAGTCGATGAATTTGAGTTCTCAACATTGAAGTCTCCCACATGGTAGTGAAACCAATGCCCCGGCTCACTCAAAGTGCACTGTGATGTGGCATGCTGACCATCCGAAGTCCATAGCTGAAAACTTACAGGTTTTATATCCCAACCATGAACATGCTCAGAGTTGCAGATTCGGCGACCAAACCTCCTGGAGACACGACCCAGCTGCAGTCTGAAGAAAACGCTATAGGACCCCGCTGGAAATGGAAATTCCACCTCCCCATCAACTTCAAACCACCAGATTTGCTGAAGATATGCTACGGAACAGAACCTAAATTACAAAGAAAAAGAAAATTGAAATCAATATCCAGCCAGCCATTAAACTTCAACACATGGTGTAAAGATCTATTTGTCCAACCAACCAGCATTTCCAATATGGTATTTGCTAACTGCTAAGAGTTGCCATGACTATGAGATGCAATAACAAAGCTAAAAAAACTAAGCTGTTTTCCAATACATGAAGTCAGTTATATGAACAGGCCTAGAAAAACAAGAGGTGGATTCTTTTTGTGAGAATCGTAACTGACACCGAACTGGTTTTGTAAGAAATCCTTAAATTTATATAAAATAATGTGTGAAGTTTTTGTCCCCACAATTTAATATAAAGATTTGAATGTCAAACACAGTTGCTTTAACCACAGCCGACTTTAACCATGGGAATGAGAAACCAGGGAAGAAGTCAAAAGTGGTGAGCATCCAGGAATTGTTTTGTTTTTCATAAAGGAGGCAAGGTTTTAAAGAGGAAACTTGCAGGGACCCAGGGATACCAAATCACATTTAGACAATTTCCTATACCTCTGCCAAATCACAGCATCATCATCATCAAGCATTAAAAATGGAAATCGAAAGTATACATCGAGATTTAACAATAAAAATAACAAAAAAAAAAAAAGAACATACTTTGGATAAATTCGGCAACATATGCCCCGGACACTCTTGATTTTGATCAGCCAATCTAAAAAAATCATGATGAGAAACTAGAAAATCCTCCCATTCTTCTCAACATGGGATATTTACACACAAAAAATAAGATAACTTCTTTGTATCTCACCTAGATTCTTCAGTAGGAATATAATTCCAATATCTTCGATCATCAATCCCCGTTATCCGTAACCCCTTTGAAGAGATTGCCAAACAAACACCACCTGTGCTCTTATCCAGCCATAATTTCTGCAAAAGGAACCCATATCCTCAAGCCATCAATAAGACATGCAAGCCATGAATGTTAAGCTCTAGCAACCATTACAATAAAACTTTTAATTCCTTTTTCACTTTGCTCCCCCTCAAATTTATTAAAGTTATATGACCATATTATAAATCAAAGAAACAATTAAGGGATTATCAAATCATGGAAATTTTTAATACAACTTAGTCATCTAGTAGAAACTGTATTCAGAAATAACAAAAGAAAAAAAAAACTTAAAATTGCAAATCAAATCCCTGAAGAAAATTATCTATTTGATTGCTGAGTTAAAGCAAAAAAACACAAGGAAAAGTAAAGTTTCTAGTCTTTATGAGAAGAATCAGCTCATCAAAAATAAAAACACAGAAAGATTCTAGACGGAGAATTTCAAATCCCAGTCTTTCTCGGTATCCAAACAAAAAAAGCCAAAAAACAGAAACAAAAAAAAAAAAAAAAACCATACCTTGGTGCCACCGTCGAAAGAATTAGCTCTACAGAGCTTTGTATAAATGACTCGTTTACCCCAATTTTCAGGCACAAAGCCTAGAATTTTACCAACAAGGATTTGATAATTGGGTGGCAATTTCGATTCCCACACAAAATCAGCCCAAGAAGCACCTCTAAAGGCTCTGTTCAACTTTGCCAATTTACATATCTCTGGAGGATCCAAATACCCGATAATTGAGGCCACACAGCTTTCTGGCAAGTCCCCCAAACTGGAGAATGATGAAGAAACAGATGATAAATCATTTCGGTCGATGAACGAAGCAGAGAAATTTGCACCCATCAAGTGAAAAAGAGAACAAAAGAGACAACTAGAAAGTTCTAAGGCAGAGTATTGATAATAAATCATAAAACGAGGGAGTATGAGAGATGGAGAACGATAGAGGTGGCAAAAGAGAGTGGGGCGGTACTTCAATACAATGACGGGTACTCCTTTTCTAGGATTGTTTTTTTGTTTCTGGTTTGTCTGTTTGTTTGCCGAGAAAAAAAAAAGAGAAGACAGAGAAAGAAGGAAGCTGACAGGGAGGACTTCGATTTTGACGGTAAAACAAAGCAGACGTTGGATTTTGATTTGACGATCATAAATCCATCTAACAAAAATTGAAAAAAAATAAAAGTCAAAGTAAATTTTTTGTTTTGTTAAGCAGAATTGAGTTAACCATGGCTTTTTGGTTTAGTAAATTTTTGTTTTGTTAAGCAGAATTACGTTAACCAACGTTTTGGAAAATTTTTGGTGGTGCTGAAATCTCTGGACTGCCTTGACATTAATGTGGATAAGCATTCTATCTGACAATAAATTTTCGTACACTAAAATCGTGAGGATTTGGGTTTTACCTTAAATTTTGGTTTAATGAGTTGGTTCAGCCAGACCACAAGTGAGTTAATGTTTTGACTTTATAGTTTTCTTTTTTAGGTAATGTATCCAATAAAAAAAAAGTAACAAATTAGATAATGTTATATGTATTTTTTAAATAAAAAATTATTAAATAATTTTTTAAAACTATATATTTTTATTATTTTTATACATAAAATCTATATAAAAATAATTCATTTTAAATTTTAAATCAAGATAAGATGTGTTTGAAATATTTTACCCACTGCATTTGAGATTAACAAATAAAAGGCATTTAGGAGGATTATGATAAAATTGGAAAAATGAAAGAAAAGTTGGGTTTGAAACTTGATGATCAAAGGCAGAAAGAGATGGCCCAAGGAGTACATGGTAGACTGCTATGGGCATTTTCTCCATAACTTTCTTTTCAAGTTTCTTTTAATTTGACATTGTTCTGAAAAATCGTTTTGGTGGAAATAATAAATTGCACGCCTAATGTCAATTTTAAAACCCAATTTTCCTTTTGTTTTAATGTAAAATATCAATTTATGGTACATTTATTTTGGCTAACACTATATTAATAATATATCAAACTCTACCTTGCTACCTTCAAATAATTAAATGCAAAGGGAGTAATACTAATAAATTGTACCACATACAAAAATGAAATTAAAAACATTGGCGTGCAATAAAAAATTTTTTGTTAGGCAATCCAGGAGTCCCCATGAGGTCTCCCTTTGTCTCTTTTTAATTATACCTATATACTTTTTCTCCTTAAATTTATCATCTTTCTTTGGTAACATCAACTTTTTTTTCCTCTTTTGGACCATTCCTCGTTAAGCAAATTAAAAATTAACAACATGAAATGAATGGGTTTGGCAAGCTCTTTAGAAAATCATTAAAAATTCAATCTCTTAATCCTAAGACCAATGTCACAAATTGTATACATTATCTTCTATTAAACATTTAATTTAAAATTAATTTACAGTAATTAGACTTAAATATAAAATTATAAAAAATTAAAAATTTATTTAATGTGGGATAACTCATTTTAATAAGATCTCATTATGTGTAAACGAAAATGAAAGAAATTTTTTATGTGATAGATTTAGAAAAGATAACAAAAAAAATTTTTGATTTTAATATCATGTTAAGTATCAAACTTAAAATTAATTGATAATAAGTAAAATGATTTAACTTAAATATAAAACTATAAAAAATTAAAAATTTATTAAATATGGGATAATTTACTTTAACATTCTAAAGATCCCATCTCTCATATTATTAAAAAAGAAAAATAAAGTTTAGGGTAGCATTCAAATGAAACAAGTGGCTGTCGTCTTCCCATTTGAGTTCAAATTGATTGGAAAATGATGGACCAACCAAAACACGTTTTGTCAGCAAAGAAGTACAGCCACGTCGACGTGTGTCTGAGTCAGCATATGACATGTCAACCGCATAAAAATGGGACAATGCCACATTGGAAACAATGTCAATTGTTCAGCATATGGCATCTCAATTTGGATAAGGTGAAGTAAAGAAGAGAGTAAGGCCATCTATATGAAGTTTCAAAAAATTAGTTGGTTGATTATGAGTTGTCAAGTTGCACAATAAGAGAAAAATATATTATATATCAGTTTAATGCAATGACGTTTGGATGAATAGGACTTCATATCTTTGGATAATACAAATGGCTCATAATCTTGTTTATCTTTAATCGCCCATGGAAGTTGCACCACTCGTTTTAAGAATTTTTTTTTATGAAATGTGGTTTTAAGAATCTTTAATTAGACATTAAATATAATAATATCATAAGCATATAATATAATGTCAAAATAGATTACCGCCCATATAAAAAAAATATGTTTTTTATTTGAAGTTATCATTATTTAAATTTTAATAATTAAAATTAAAATTTTAATATTCTATCAATAATTTATTCCAACTTGAGGTTTTTGTTTTTTGTTTTTCTCTCAAGAAAAACCTTTCGTTGAACTTGAGGTTTTCGGTTTGATTGTTTGGTAACTTATGAACAGAAGGCTTTGGGCCCATAGAATTTGATCCCAAAATTTCAGACCAACCTTTACTTGCTTCGTTCCTTCAATGGTGATTGTTATAAATAATTAGCAAGTTGCTTCGCTGTACTTACACAAACACCACATGGATTAAAAAAGTATTGGTGCTTGATAATTAAGAAGATTTACAATTAAAACTACCATTCAGAGATGAACCCCAATGAGTGAAGACTAGTAGATGAAATTATCTGTCCTTGCAAAGCCAATAGGATGATCTTTCATAGTCATCAGATTATTAATCGAAATGCCGAGAGAGCATTTCATTTTCCAAATTTCTTTTTCTTGCTATAGTGACTTGCTGTGGGATAAATTGAACATTGCTGTTAAACTTGTAACCATTGTAGACACCGATTTTATCTGGATTTATTGTTTTCATTTCAATTTAATAATAATAATAATAATAATAATTTTAAAAAATTAATAATAATAAAAAAAAAAAAAACAGAAATCAGAGGGTTGGTATGACGTCGTTGCCGCCTCCGACCAACCTCCTGTCCAACCCCTGACTAGCTCCCTATTCAACCCACCTACAGTCACCATATAGTTACTTAAATCCCCTTATTTGAAGCTCTTTAAAACCCCAGCCTCTTTCCCCTTTAGACTCTCTCTGAAAAAAAAAAAAAAGACCTATTCAATCCACCTCCACGACAAACCCTCGAGCTTAGACTAACTACCTCCCTCAAAACACTTTTAACAACTCCAGACAGAACTCCTATCCCTACGCATAAAAACTCAAATTTCAAACAACCCCCCAAATACCGAAACAGAAAAACGAAATAGATCTACAAAAAAGGAACCTTAGCGCCACAGCCGTCCTGAAACCAGAAAGAAAAATCATCAATTTAAGCCTGTCCCAAAAAAAAAAAATGAAGATCAGAAACTTCAAAGACTAATTTGCAACTATTAAGGCTCTTTTAAGCAAAACGAAGGTCGAATTCAGAAAGAGGGCATCGAGAGGAATTTTTGGTGACTTTTTGACCCTTTTTTTATCACCAGTGACCACTACTGACGGTAACCCACACGGCGGTAGGTGCAACGCACGACACCCGATTTCGATGAAACCAGAGAAAACTCCCCAAATATCGAAACAAAAAAATGAAACAGATCTACATAAAAGGAACCTTAGCACCACAGCCGCCCTGAAACCAAAAGAGAAATCATCAGTTTAAGCCCATCCAAAAAAAAAAAAAAAGATGAGCGATCAGAAACTTCGAAGACTAATTTGCAACTATTAAAGCTCTTTTAGGCAAAACGAAGGTCGGATTCAGAAAGAGGGCGTCGAGAGGAATTTTTGGTGACTTTTTGACCTTTTTTCGATCACCACTAACCACCATTGATAGTAACCCACACGACGGTCGGTGCAACGCACAGCACCCTATTTCGATGAAACCAGAGAAAACCCTAACTCTCTTTTACCACGAAAAGTCCTAGCTTCCCACACTCAGAAAAACTCCAACCTCCCACAAAACTTCCTACCCATCAGAAAACTAGACAAAAAAAAACTCAAACACACAAATTGAAACAAAAAAAACAAAGACAAACACAGTCCTCCCCGCAAGGAGAAACCCAACGTCGAGCTACCTGCAAAAGCAAAAATATATATATATCAATCTCATTTAAAAAAAAAAAGAAGGCAAAAAACTTCAAGCCTCGATCTACGACGATCAAGGCCGTTTCTGACGAAAAGAGAGCGAGATCTGAAAAGAAGACGTTGAAGAGAGCTTTCAAAATAATTTTTGCATTTTTTAGCGATCGAAAACCACCGGCAGCGACCGTCGGCAGTGACCCATGTGACGGTCGGTGCAGTGGTCCGACGACTGGACAGCGAGAGCCCCAGAGCTCTCTCCATTTTTTTTTTGAAACAGAAAAAAATGAACAAAAAAAAATCTTTAGTTATATATAGAAAAGCAAAGCTTAAAATGACATCGTTTTGGGCAGGGAAGGATCCGTGCGTGGATTCGGACCCGACCTGGGGTCCGCGCAACCAACCCGTCAACTTGACTCCTTAGCGGTTCTGAACCGGTTTGACCAGACCGAACTGCTCCTTATATCGGCCCGAACCATTTTTCAATCGGTTCAATCGAACCACGCGCCGAACCGAACTGCCGTTGATAGGTTCGGTTCAAGTAAAATTTTTTTAAAATTTTTTTAATTTTTTTATATATTATTATTTTTGTTATTTTGAGTATTTTTATATTTATGCATGATAAATTTTTAAATTTGTTAGGATAATTTTTTTAATTATTTTTTAATAATAATAAAAATGTTTAAATAATAATAATAATAATAATAGAATTTTTTTTATTTTTTCTGCCTAGATGTTGGAAGGAATTAAATCATGTTTCAAAAATAATAATTTGGCTTAGACGTTGGAGAATTATTATTATAAAAAATACTAAATAAGTTAATAATATTTTTGATAATAAGTTTTCATAAAAAATGAACTTTTTTTTTAAAAAAAAATTATGTTTCTTAAATTAATTTTTAAAAAATTATAAAAATTGAACTTGCTCTGAAAAGTCCGCCTAAATGTTAGAGATTTTTAGAGATCTTCGCGTTTTCTAAAACCCCTAAAATCCGAAATCCTTTAAATCCAAACCCCAAAACCCAAAATCCAAAATCCTTAAAATTCAAACCCTTAAATCAAAATCTCAAACCTCAAAACTCAAACCCTAAAATTTTCAAACTCTAAAACTCAAAACCTTAAACCTTCTATAACCTAAAATTCAAGTCTTAAAATCCTCTAAACCTTAAAACCAAACCTTCAAAACTTCTACTCAAGCTCTTACTAAAAACTTTTTGAAAATCTTAAAGACACATGTGAAAATCTCATTTGAAGTAATTTGTTCCCGAATGTCACCTAGATGATGAGGTATTTAGGAAATTTTACTTCGTTAAGTCTTTTCACACGATTTCGTAATTCGCATTAATGATAAGATAGTATA